TCACACCCCCTCTTGGCCGAGACCCCAACACATCTAGCCCCCCTCATACATCCCCTCCACCAAGACCCTGCACCCTCACAGATCCCATCCACTAAAGCGCCACACCCTCGACCTGCTCCTGCCCCCTCCCCTGGCCAGTCATCCTGCACTCTCCCCCTGGCCAGACACCTATCCCCAGAGAGAGGGGGGTTGGCGAGTATAGTGAGCAGGGGCTCAGCCCCTTAGTGACCTTTAAAAATCCCCTCATACATCCCCTCCACCAAGACCCTGCACCCTCACAGATCCCATCCACTAAAGCGCCACACCCTCGACCTGCTCCTGCCCCCTCCCCTGGCCAGTCATCCTGCACTCTCCCCCTGGCCAGACACCTATCCCCAGAGAGAGGGGGGTTGGCGAGTATAGTGAGCAGGGGCTCAGCCCCTTAGTGACCTTTAAAAATAAGAATCGTATACCCTTACACAGCAGTGCAACTACAGAAGACAATTGCAGTTATGCAGATCTCCTAAACAGAAATAAAAACAGGAGAAAGCTTTCCTCTCATTTCAGGTATCAATTACATCCCCTCCAAAGAAAGCTTTGATCTGTTGCTAATATGTACTTTTGAAGAGGATAATTATTTTGTTTTCTGGTGTTAATATATCTCCCCCCATGCAGTCAGGGTACACTAATTGCCATAAAAAAAAAAATCAAGAGACACCTGTTAAGTATGTTCTCACTATCTGTTAGTACCAGTGAATGTTTAGCACAAATCACAAAGGAATGTAGTACAGAAGTCAGTGGGTTATTTATTATTTAAAAAGGGCCTGGTATTTCCAAATACAGGCCATGTTCTCCAAACTCAGTGCATGGAATTAGGGTGGTTTACATTTAAGTGTTACTATCCAAACTATTTTCATTCAGTGTGTGATTTTTTTCCTTCAATATATTTATTTTTACCATCTTAAGTTTTAAACAATGCAAGTGAAATGTAGACAAGCCTTAAATCTGTGACGTTATAGCTATTGCTATATGGGAATAATTATGCAGAATAAAACATTTTTGAGCTAATGTACCTGCAACTAAACTGGGGAGGGATGGCAGGATTTTTAAGAAGCTTTAAATTATACCAGTATTGGAAAAGTAGCACAACTTCCTAGTTTAGATCAACCCTTAGACTTTCAAGTCCAAACTCAGGTGCCTAACTAAACTGCACAATTTTCAGAAGAGCTAAGCACTGAACATCCTTCCCTTGAGAGAAAAAAAAGCACGCCTGATATGGACAATTAGATTATAAAACAGTCTTCCATGAGCACAGATGGCAGCTCTTTTGTTCCACTCTTAAAAATGAACAGGGAAAAAACCTGAAGTACAGAGAACAGTCTTGCACTGGCCTCAAAGGGAAGAACCATCAGTGGTCTCCAACCTTTTTACGCCCAAGATCACTTTTTAAAAGTCAGGACAAGCCAAGGTCTACTGCCCCAAGACCCCACCTCTTCCTTGAAGCCTCGCCCTCTCTGTTCTCCTCCTCTCCATCACTTGCTATCCCCAGCCCTTATACACTCATGAGGGTACGGCTACACTGCCATTTTTTTCGATTCTTCTGTAGGAAGAGGTTTTCCCAACATATCGCCTGTTTACCCCTTCTTTCGGAAGCCCCCTTATTCCTCGTGGAACGAGGTATACAGGGGTTGCCAAAAGAGGATGTTTGCTCTTCCGCTAAAAAAAGGCGGAAGAACAAAGGCATCCCTGGATGCGGAAGAATTTTTCCAGGATCTCTCCGGTATCCCGGAAAAACCTCTAGTAGTCTAGCCGTACCCTCACTGGGTAGACAGAGGATGTGTGGGCTCTGGGGTGGGAATGAATGATCTGGGTGTGAAAAGGGGTGAGAGGTGCAACCTCTGGGAGGAAATTTGGATGCAGGAGCATGTGAAGAAGGGAATGCTGGCTCAGGATGAGGGCTCAAGGCTGAAGAGTGCTGCCGTCAGGCAGAGGGTTGTGGTGCTGAGCAAGCCACAGGCACGTGGATGTGAGGGTGCAGGAGTTTGGGTTGGGTATGTGAAGGGCTCAGGGCAGGGACGCTGGGAGTATGATGGGCTCTGGACACATTTGTGGTGTGTGAATGGTGCAGAAGTGTTGTGGCAGAAGACTGAAGATGTGGGGGTACAGAAGTTTGGGGATGTAAGAGGCTAAGGACAGGGGATTCCAGTGTACGATAAGCTCAGATTTGGGTTCTGGGGGGTGCAGGAGTGTTATGATGCTGCAGCCAGATGGGGGGTTGGCCCCAATTGTGGGTTAGCCAGCCAGGCTTCAAGTAGGAATAAGAGATCCTCTGGAAAAGGGCTTTATTCCGGAGGATCGCGCCAGTCTAGATGCTCTTTTCTGGCTTTTCCCCAAGCCGGAAAAAAAGCGGCGGCCATGTTTATTTAAATCCCGCGGGGGATATTTAAATCCCCCGCGGATTTCCCTATTCTGACTCGCCTGCTTTGCATGCCTATTCCGTCTTATGTGGCCAGTCTAGACTTAGCCCACTAGATTATCATTTAAATAATAGGAGGCTGACTGGGATGCCAGCCAGCATTGGACCAACAACAATACAAAGATGAAGGCTCTTACCTTGAGTGCTAAGGGATAACTGCAAAAAGAGGAAAAACTTACCTCCATAGTAGAGTCCTGTAGCAGTGCACATGCGCCACTGTCCCTGATACATTCCCGCTGTGCTAGGGCTGCACATCTGAACGCTGACATCTGCAATCTCCTGGGGCTCTAGCGATCGAACCATCACCATGTTTACATGGCCAAACTGGTCTCCCCCAACGTACTTAAGACAAACCCCTGGGGGCCATGCCTCTGTCCCTGATTGAACAGAAAAAGGCATTGAAATGTCAGTGACAACGCAAATGTAGCAACTTTGTCCTGCTTCTTTTTGGCACATTCCTGCACAAGCAGATAAACTTTTATTAAAATAGTCACACTGCCTTGTTGAACAGTCAAAAGGATTCCAGGCTAGTCAAGTTTTCTATTTCTCACACAACAGCTAGCCATAACAGCAAAGATTTTCATACAAACATAACTGTTCCAATATGTGACCAACTGAAAGGAAAGACCAGTAGCATATGCACAAGTGCTTTAAAATTGGGAAATTCAGAGTTGTAGTTTAACGAAGGCCAACACTAATCAACATATCTGAGTGAGCGACCTTTGATGACATGTTCAGCTGCACTTTAGCCATGTTGGGCAAACATGTAGCATGCAATAAAGATGTCCACCTAGTTTTTTCCATCTTCATTTTACAGTTCATCCCCCTAAGCCACCATCACATAACTGAAAATATGTTAATAGTCAACACAAGATCTTTTCCTCTCAAGTGTGTCAGGTTTCTTTTTCAGTTTGTTGGCAGTCTTGCAAATAGCTAACAGTTTTGTGCTCCCGGTTTATAATCTTACAAACTAGAAATAACATCCTTTGTATCAGTGGTGGGCAACCTGCAGCCCCGATATACAGTTTTTTTTCTCCTTCCTGTAGTGACGCCCTTTCATCTCCAAGATGGTGTGGTTGAACTACTCTTACAGTGTATTCCAAGTTTAGATGAGAGATGTGAATGGTTAGCTGTTGGGTAATGCTTACTGGTTCAGTTAACCAGCAGGAACTGAAGCAGCCCAGAGGGGCCCCCCCAAAGTAGCCCCCACCTGTGGCAAGCTCAGCCTGGTGCACTGCAGCCCAGCTAGAGCAGTCCCCGCCCATGGCTCCACCCTGCCCACCCTCATTTAAAGGGTTGAACATAAGATTTAACCAGTTAACTGAATAAACCAGGATTTAACTTCCCTAGTTTAGATTGCCACAAGCTGCTGTGCTGAGGGGGGGCTGTGGTAGTCCTCTCTCTCCAGGGTAGCCTGCCTCATCTCCAGCCCCATTTTATTTTTCAAAAAACAAACACTGAGTTCAGGACCCAAGCAATGCCGGGTAAATCATCCAGTATATGATCACTGCCGGGGCTCAACAATTAATGTAATCTACTCACCCATGGCGAGTAGATTTTAGCCCGGCACAGCCACGCAGCGCAGTCAGCGCATGCACAGCGCACGATAGCGCGTGGCGGGCAAGCGGGGCTCGCCACCGCTTGGTAAGCCCTGATCATTGCAAGCCCACGCTGAGATGGCAACTCTGGATAGGTATTAGTGCCCAATCATCATCTTGTAGGATCATTTCTTGAGATACCTGACTTTATGGAAGAATATATTTTTCTGGAGGTACTGCAACGAGGGCTGGGCAATGAATCATTATTTGTAGGTGTTGAACCTAGAGGGAAAACTATCAACTGAGGAAGTTTCAGTGAGAGACAGTTGGAATGACATCACAGCAGCTATCTTTGGACCCAAAGTTAGTTAGAAATAACATTACGGTAGAGGACTATTTGAAAAGGAAGATCGGAGTGGTTAGCTGGCCTTAAGACGGTGATGCGTGGGAGTTTCAGAGCATAAAGACTTTTGTGTGAAAGGGTTTGCAGCCTGGCAACATGTTTTTGGTTTAAATAATGTGATTTTTATCAGTTTTAATGGCTTTATACTTGCCCAGCGCTTAGAGTGCTACAGCTGATAAGAGCCATCAACACAAAATGATTATTACGCCATGCTATTTCAGTACATGAATTTCTCGGGAGAGGATATATTGCAGTGACTACCCAAAGGTGCTCACAGCAGCTAGGGGTAGACTGGGAGATGGAAATAAGTTTGCTGAAGCCTGGTGACTGGTTAGCCTGCAGAAAGACTATCGCAGTGCAGAAGGGCTGGACCTTAGTCTTTGACAACAGGCAAAAAGGCCTGCCTGAAAGCAGCTTACTCAAACAGCACTACTTGCTTACAGAATTCTAAGAGAGCTGGTTCAACTCAATGAGTACACAATAGCTCTGCTTTCTGCACCAGACAGAATGCAGCTCTTCTACATCTAATCCCTCAAAGCAATGCTTCACTATTTTTTTCATCTTTTAAAACTGAAGTCATTTAATCAAGAGTTGCTGCAGGATCATTAAGAAAGAACGGTTACTTACCTCGTAACTGTGATTCTTCGAGATGTGTTGCTCATGTCCATTCCAATATAGGTGTGCGTGTGCGCAGCGTACACGCGCCGTCAGAGACTTTTCCCTCAGCAGTACCCTTTGGGGCAGCAGGGAGACCCCTGGAGTGGGCGCAGATATATCAGCCCATATATACCCCTGTTGGCCCCCTCACCCACTCTGTTCCTTCTTACCAGCATATTCTGGATAAAGGGCGGTGATTTGGAATGGACATGAGCAACACATCTCGAAGAATCACAGTTACGAGGTAAGTAACCGTTCTTTCTTAATGATCCTGCAGCAACTCTTGATTAAATGACTTCAGTTTTATAAAGCAGAACCTAACTAGGCGGAAGGCTGGAAGTCGAAACCACGGAGGAGTTAAGGACCGCCCTACATAGGGCATTCTCCTCTCTGGCCTGATGGGACAGCGCAGAATGGTTGGCAAACGTGTGGACCGAGGACCATGTGGTAGCCCTACAGATATCCAGGACGGAAACCTGTGCTGCGAAAGCAGTGGAAGCTGCCACAGCTCTCGTGGAGTGTGCTCTAAGTGTTGGGGCTGAAATGCCCGCTAGAGAGTAGCACTCTCTGACACAGGCAGTTATCCATGAGGCCATCTGCTGAGTGGATACAGGTTGGCTTCTCATGTGATCCACATTGGCTACGAAAAGTTGTAGTGATTTTCGGAACGGTTTAGTCCTGTCTAAATAAAAGCCTAGCACCCTACGGACGTCTAACATGTGTAAAGCTTGCTCTCTCTTCAATGCATGTGGTTTTGGGTAAAAAAACTGGTAGAAAAATATCCTGGGAAGTGTGAAATGCAGAAACTATCATCGGCAAAAAGGCTAGGTAAGGGCAGAGCCAGACCTTGTCTTTAAAAAAATACTGTGTTGGGGGGATCTGACGTCAATGCCCTAAGCTCAGACAGCCGCCTCACGGGTGTGATTGCTCCTACCTAGGAGGGACACCTTATATGATAGGTGAAGGAGGGAGCACGTGGCTAGTGGTTCAAACGGGGGCCCTATAAGTTTGGATAGTACCAGATTTAGTTCCCACTGGGGAACGGATTGCCGGACATGCAGATGGAGTCTGTCCATTCCTTTTAGGAACCTGTTGACCATAGGGTTGGCCAATAGCATTTCCCCCCCTTTCCCTGGGTGGAAGGCCGAAATGACCGCTAGGTGGACCTTAATAGAAGAGGAAAAGAGATGCTGGAGCTTGAGGTCCAACAGGTAATCCAGAATCAAGGGGACTGGTGCCTAACTCGGCTGTACCCCCTTCTGAGAAGCCCAACAGCAAAACTGCTTCCACTTAGCGAGGTACGTAGTTCTAGTGGAAGGTTTTCTGCTATCCAGAAGGGCTTCTTGGACTCGTTGAGAGCACTGGAGCTCCTCTTCCGTTAACCATGGAGCTGTCAAGTGGAGGGACTGTAGGTCTGAGTGGTGAAGCCTGCCCAAGTCCTGGGATATCAGGTTCTGGACCAGTGGGAGGGTTACAGGCCTCTCGCATGAAGGTTGAGGAGGGTCGAAAACCAATGCTGTCTGGACCACACTGGAGTGATTAGAATTAATGACGCACTGAACTCTTGCACTTTCAACAAGACCCTGTGAACTAGTAAGAAGGGCAGGAAGCCGTACAGCAGGCCTTGCGGCCAGTGGAGAAGGAGAGCGTCCCCTAGGGACTCCTGTCCCTGCCCCATGAGGGAGTAGTAGTGGGGGCACTTCATGTTCTGCCCTGTGGTGAACAGATCCAGATGGGAAAACCCCGACAAGCGCAAGATGGATTGGGCAACGTCCCAATGCAGGGACCACTCATAGCTCACAAACGATCTGTTCAATCTGTCCGCTAGGACGTTCTGTGAGCCTGGAAGATATAAGGCTATCCCGTCAAAACCTTTGTTGGGACCTGGTGGGGTTATTGGGGGGCCCCTGGTTAGAATCTGGGGCTGTGCGAGGGCGGCACCTATTGTTCCTGCCATTATTACCCCTGCCCCCTACAATGGGTAAAATCGGGGAGTGGGCCCTGTGGAGGCATTCTAGGGGCATTCCTATTAGCATAAGAACGCATCTGGGTGGCAGGTGTGTGAAGGCCCAAGGACTTTAATGTGGCTCTCGTGTCCTTCAGGCCATGGAGCTGCTGGCCAGTTTGCTCGGAGAAGAGCGATGTGCCTTCGAAAGGGAAGTCGTGCAAGGTGTTTTGGACTTCCGGCGGCACTCCGGAGCCCTGGAGCTACGAATGCAGGACCACTCTGGTGGCCATGACTCGAGAAGCCACAACAGCCACATCAAGTGCTGCTTGTAGCACCATTCGAGAAATTACTCTCCCCTCCTCCTGAAGGGCCTTATACTCCACACAGGAGTCTCTGGGAAGCAAGTCTGTAAACTTGTCCATTGATGCCCAGGTGTTGTAGGCGTATCTGGACAGAAAAACTTGTTGGTTGGCAATTCGGTATTGGATGCCCCCCAGATGCGTAGACTTTTCTGTCCAGTAAGTCGGTCTTTTTAGCTTCCCTGTTCTTAGGGGGTGGCCGCAGGCTGTCCCTGCCTCTCCCTCTGGTTGACTGCCTAAGTAACACCGGGGGAGGGTAGGAGAAGAGGTGCTCATTACCCTCCTGAGGGACAAAACACCTCTGTTCCACACGTTTATCGGTGGGCGAGATGGACACTGGAGTTTGCCACAAGGCTGCTGAGATCTTGGCTACCGTCTTGTTGATTGGCAACGCCACTCTGGAGGGAGTGTCTGTGTGCAAGATGTTGAGACCTCAGAGACCTTGTCCGCCTGGACTCCCAGACTTTGGGCC